CTTCTAATTCTTTAACTGAAGAGAGCTCAAAAAATTCTAATCTCCTTGGAAATGGATAATCTACAATATTGGATCGATATTGCTTTCCGGGTTCAATTAATATTTGCATTTTGTATTTAAATGCCTTTAAAAAACCATTTTGCACACCGGTTACGATTTGTATTTCAATTTCTTGCAAAGATTATGTAGACCTTTAATTTTTTGCCTACATGTTCGCGTTAAGTTGATGCGTGCAAGTGAAGAAATTGATGCCCGTATCATTACCACGAAAATAAGCATTATTATGGATCAATAGGTTGTTTTATTACTGCCGAAAATAGAATGCGATCGTGATCGTTAAAATTTTGCCATAAACAACACGTCAACGATCAGGAGCAATAACCGTGCAAGTTCGAAGATACAAAGCCGGAAGATATAGCGAATCGGATCGGGAGTAACACGCTACTTTTGTTTTGCGAATGAGAAGTTAAATACCAGCAGGCTACAAAACAAAATAAAACGCCTTGATAGCGAAACATCAAATGAGCATGCCATGACATGACACACATTTTAGAGAAGTCGCTGTAGCGAAGACAGCACCATTATACGTATTATATGTTGTATGGTCGCATTCTGATATTTTCATTTTCCAACTAGGTGCTGTGCGGTTCGCTGCGGACTCCACTTCGAGTCCACTTCCATACTAAATACATCAGTGACTATTATTCTATGTATTACATTACATTACCGTTCTTTCATTAAGACAGGCAGTAGTTTATTGAATGAGCAAACGCTGCGACCGCGAAAGCTCTCTCCCATGTGCGTACGTAAGCTTGTACGTATTATTTTGTATATCATGGTGAAAAGCTGCCTGTTGTTAAATTATTAACTAGCGATAAGGTACCTGTAGATAATGATGGAATTGAGACAATGCGTGAAATTTTTGTTGACTATCGTTGTGGTGTTTGGTGTTAGTGTCACGTGTTTGGATTTCAAGTATCATACGCACGAAGAACTGACCAACTATTTGAAAAATTACACAAAAAGTCACAAGAACTTTTTCAGTAGATTATATTCAGTTGGAAGATCCATAAACGGTACGTATTGTTTATAAATTTCTTAGTATATTATAATCGCCGATACTACGACATTTGACCCGACATAGTTTCACAACAGACACTTTAAAGGATTCGCATGTTTTCGTACTTAAATGAGTATCTAAAATTTTTCAAAGTATTTACAAAACATTAAAAAATTAGATAAGAACTTATTACAAATGCGAGTAGTTATATGTAGAAAAACAGTTGAATGTATACTATGACCAGAAAATAGACGTTTAAAATAACACTGTTGATGTTAACATATAGTGTTTTATTACTTCCAAGACCCATATTTTCGGAAATAAAACCACAATCATCGTATTATTGCTTAAACAATATCAATAAAAAATATGTAGGTTAAATAAATAAAACCTTGAAACAATTCACTGCCTGCTATTGCTGATACGAAGGTAGATACTTACCTATATCAATTTTTAAATTTGCAAACAGGTGTGATACTTAATATTTTTTTAAATATCCATACCTAAAATGCGACGTTTCGCTGGCAGCTGTGGTTGGTATCCTCAGAGAGGGTAGCAAGGATATAAAGACGTAATGTCCTTCACAGCGGTTGTACTGACAATAATAATACCAACATCAGTCATTCCTATATTGGTGTTCTCGCCGAAGGACCGTAGAAGGACCACAGTCACTACAGGACGAGAATCAGTCTTAGACCATGGCTATCAAAGCCAACCGTGTGAAAACCCTTCGCAAGTAATGATAACGTTAAATAAAATTTAATACCTCTACCTATCAATATGCACTAATGATTTTTATCTTACAAAATAAACAAAGTTTTGAGGAAAACGAATATATGAAAACGTAATTATACATGAACATATTTAGATGCATTATAAATTACGATACATATAAATCGGTACCTATGATAATTTTAGACGTTATTCAACCAATCCACCTACAGGTCAAAGATATTGGAACATGTGACCAGGTATTGTGTACATAGATTACGTAATTTCTTTGGTTCGCATAGTAGCTACACAAATATTTAGGTATAACAACAAAACAGAACGGTAGATATTTCTTCACTATTGTTATTAAAAATTACAAAAGGTCATCATCTCGTTATAACGGAAGCAGTGTTACTCATTTTTAGAACTAAGTGAGAACAAAAATGTTCTAACGTTTTACGACCTAATGCAAAAAATTCGAAATAAGTAAAAAAAACGCAATTTTATGTCTACAAATTATTTCTGCATGATTCATTTTATGTCATTTAATATTATGATTAGTACGATATTTGATCTCTTCATCCAGATGTCATTTTTTACCCTTCACGGGTAATGGAACTCGGCCCGTAACAACAGAACCGTTACTATCATTAACTTCTGTTGCAATAATGTTACATATATGCACATTGCATAATACGTAGTACATAAATGCGTATTTTTTCTATGTATATTTATTCCTTTTTATTGTTCTTGTATCTATCCACCTATGTACGAATGTATCCACAATGTAAGCATGTGTATGTTCATCTACACGCAATTGCATTTGCAGAATGACTTCATTGAACGTCTATTTTTGCTATTTATGACTTAACCTTATGAATTTTAATTAAAGTGACGACGGACGGCAATGGGTGGAAGAAAATGGGACAAGGAACGTTTGTTCTGTGCGTGGCGCATTTGTGATTTGTATATGTACTTGTATATTATAATTGGTGCGCGCGTTTCTATGTGGACGAACCAAGTTGAATTATATGTATTTAAGATAAAATTAGAGATACAACGCATGTAAATGTGTAATTATTTGGAAAAATAGCAGGCAGTAATAATACGTTTTTACTTCTACTTCCGGGCTATTAGCCGCACCCTTACAAAGTGGGTCATTTAAGAAACGGGTGCGTCTTTGACGCTAGGGGAATCCTAGCACAGAAAATATGAGTAGCAAGCAGGCGATTACCTTAAAAATGTAAAGAGCGTCTGGAAGTCTACATAGAATAAGAACTGTCCCTTTTTCACGAAAAACTAGATAAGGGTCTGTTCTGCATTGTCTTATTAAAAGGCGATTGTTCTATTAAATTAATCATTAGAATGTGTTGTAAGCAGATCTATTACAAATTACAACACATAATTAAACATTTATTTTCATTAAACATTGAGTCGGTCTAATTACCGACTGTGTAATTATACAATAATTAACACCACTTATGGTTCATTTTTCTACATGATTACTCTAAAGCTATCGAGACGTATCTCATATCATGGTACCAGCTTTCTGATGCCCCCTTCATAGGACTTTGTCGATGCTTTCAATTATCGAAAGAAGTAAAAGTCCCTCGTTGCGACATCTGGACTATACGGCGGATTATCAAAAATGTCCCACTTGAATTGCCTGTCGAAATGTTGAGATATCGCGATTGTCACAAACGAAAACCACAACCGTCCATACGCCTATTTCGACAATTGAAGGCATGGTTAGACTGAAAACACTGCAAAATACCTAACATCACGGATGACAAACTTCTGTGAAGAGGGCATCAGCAAGCTGTAGTCGCGATATGACAAATGCCTCAATCGTTACGTAGTAAAATAAAATATCTGTCTATTTTCTGGCTTATTGATTATTGCAAAAAAATAGTCCTCCCACCTGTTAGATAGGTACCACTTTTTATACAGTTTTTTCTAAAATTGTGACTTGTATTAAAACATTAATATGTTAGTTGAAAATCAACAAAAACTTTTAGTTGTAACCAACATTAATAAGTAAACTCTAGTCAATCAACCTAACGTTTATTTATGTAAACGACCTTTGTCAGCATTATAAATTGAAAGGAATACATTACTTATACTCCATCGAGTTTTGCTCTCACATAGCAAAAAGACCAAACAATAGAATCCTTGAAGCGCCATGAAAGAATCCGAGCATTTTTATTCGTTTAAATATTCCATACAACTGCTTGTAATAATTACAAGAAAATTTTTGCAGGCTGAAGGTCATGTAAATGTGCTACTTTGCGTTAATGTTAGGTAACAAAATATATTCCGGATGAGCGTAAAATTACAATTAGTTTTCCTTTTCAACGTTTGCTAGTGTAAAGTGCAATTTATTGATGCATTGTACTTAATAAATATGTCCTTTACAATTAATTTACAACAATACGCGTAGGAATAAACAATTTCAACTTTTATCATTAAAATTAGAAAAATTGCAGTTATAATATGTCATCTACATATAAAACTTTTTGCCATTTGTAATATTTGAATATCGATTTTGGTTGTTACATAAACAGGAAAAGACCTATGGGTTCTAGAAGTTGCTGCAGCCAAGGAGTCAAAACTGGGTACTCCAAATGTAAAACTGATAGGAAATATACATGGAAATGAACCTGCTGGACGGGAAGTACTTCTACATTTTCTAGAGGTAAAAAAAAATATCGACGAGTATTTTGTTTATAGATTAAGGGCCAAATAGATAAAAAATGAATTTGTTGAATAATCTAATTAATTAAGAAAAGTTTCTTCAGTTTTATTTCGACTTCCTCTAGATTGCTTAAAATTGGTATTAAGGCGTAATAAAGACAATCGCATAACACAAAGAATATGTATAATCATCATCATTGTAGGGTCGTCAGTTCTATTACTGGTTGGACACGCATCTCCATTCTTTGCTATCCTGAGCTAATTTTCGCATTTCCCTAAAACTAGAATATCCTACATCCTTAACTACGTATTTGTGAACAGTAATCTAATCTAGGTATACCTCTACTTCTGTTAACTACTATTTCGGGTTCTAATTAATATATCTTTAACTATCCCCTCATGCTTGAAAAGACGTTTTATGAATCTACACCTATTTCTTATTGACTTCCGCGTATATAAGGTGTAAATGAGGCGATTTCTTCCTCGAAAGGGAATGTTACGCATTCGTTCTTAAAATCAGGGGAAATATTGTCCTTTCGCTAACAGTATGGCAAAAAATATATTTACTTTTTTTCTTGTTTTCTCAAGTATTTAGCAGAAGAATACACCAACAATAACGCGACAATTCAATGGCTTTTGGAAAACACACGAATTCACGTCATGCCCAGTATGAATCCAGATGGTTTCGAAATTTCAAGTATGGGCATTTGTACCGGTGACCATGGTCGTACTAATGCTAAGTTAATAGACCTGAATAGGAATTTTCCCGACTATTACAAACCTAGTGTGATACCACCTCAGCCAGAGAGTTTAGCAATTCAAAAGTGGATGCAGCAGGTGCCTTTCGTTCTATCGGCGGGCTTACACGGAGGAGCTTTGGTGGCAAACTACCCCTTCGATACCGTTAAAGAACAAAGTAAGAACACAATCTGGGAAATTTTTCTTTATATAAAGCAATAGCGTGAGGCCACCCGAATCTATAAGATTAAGTTATTCCTGTAGCATTTATTTGTTATTGACTGTTCTAGAATGGGAAAAACTCCTTAAAGATTTATCGAATGTAACTACGCAAGAAGAAGAACTTAAATTAAGGCAGGAGTATATTGGTATGATTAAATTTAATTCCGGACTTGTTGGTTTTCTTTTTGTAATGTCTAATATGTATGCTTTGTACCGTCTCTAAAATTGTTTATATGTTTTTCACCCTTAACAAACTAAAGTAGTGTTTTATGTATCTAATCAAAATAAGTTTCCGCATATTTTTTAATTTTTAACTTACCTACACGTTTTAATATTAAAAGCTTTTTGTTTGTTTTCGTTTTATAACACGCTGTAGACTTTTATCGTTAATTTATTTGTAGTGGCACTGTTTCAGGGCTTTGTATAATTACGTTTCTATAACCGTGACGATCAAAATTGGCAAAGTCCGCTAGTCATTTGCTGCCTTTTGAACACGCCTTTGTTAAGTTAGGAATTGCTTCATGAGAAGTACCTACAGGCAAAATGAAAATAAGCTTGCTTTCCTAAATTCCTGAGAATGTTAAACTTTCTTTGCAGTCCGATGCTGACAACATACTCAAATTATGCTTAACTTCAGCTCTTTCTGTTACACATTAACTGGTGTAAACTTATTCCTTTTTCTTTATTAGTGTTCGCTGCAATTCCTATCTGGCATCTCTTTTCTATATTTACGATGTCTGTCGTGAGTAAAAGTTGGCGTTCTGTTAACAACTGCTCTACTCTAATTACGTTAGTTGAAAGAAGAAAGCAAATGCGACAGTTTTACTGCGGCCTATGCCAATTTTGAACGTTCCAACTATATGTTCGAAATATACGAAACTATACGAAATTATCATTTCCGTAAAATTTTCAGAGTCTCTTTCAAAAACGTCGACGTCTCTCACACCCGATGACGATGTTTTTATTCATTTAGCGAAAACGTATGCTAATAATCATCCTACAATGCATCACGGGTACCCATGCCCAGATTCAAACAGGTCGTTTACCAATGGAATAACAAACGGAGCAGAATGGTACCCCATCAGAGGTAACGGAACAAATATTTTTCATGGAACTGATTATGAAAATATTTTTACAGGTGGAATGCAGGACTTTAATTATTTTAGACACGGTTGCATGGAATTAACTTTAGAAATTTCTTGTTGCAAGTATCCGTTTTTAAAAAAACTTCCTAAAATTTGGTTGGAAAACAATGGGGTCAATATCAGCAAGTACAATTTTTGCGGTCATTTTTCAATTNGTGTGATTAAAATGTTTATTCTTGTTTATTACAATTAGCACGATATACTGCGTAAATTTTTGTTGTGGTCGCTGTAATAATCCAAAACATCCGTTATTGCGGTTTAGAACGATGTGACTTAGATTTAAAATAGAATGCACATCATTTAAAAATATCTGGTAGCCACTAGGCAACATATAATGAATGCGCTATTATTTTGAGCGCCCATCGCTCTTACCAATTTTACCATCATCACAAGAAAAGTATATAGATAAGATAAAAGAGATCAGCCCCGATATTTTTGGAAAAAGTTGTGTTCAATTATACTCTAATGTAGAAATATTTAATACAATTTTTTCAAAAATAAGTCATGTTTGGGTTAAGTTAATTTTCGTTACGATCAGAGATGAAATACTTGCATTTAAAATAAAAAAATACCAATTTTTATCTTGCATTTAAATACTTTTTTGGGAAGAAAGGCATTTTGTATTTTATTTCCAAACCTATTTTCTATTGTTTATCTACGGGACAAAGAGATATTCCATGAATGCCTTCTAATTATTTAACTGAAGAGAGCCCAAAAAATTCTAATCTCCTTAGAAATGGTTAATCTAAAATATTGGATAGATATTGTTTTCCGAGTTCAGTGTCATGGTCCATGGAATTTTGTATTTAAATGCTTTTAAAAAAACCATTTTGCACACTCTGGCTGCGATTTGTATTTCAATTTCTTGCAAAGACCTTTAATTTTTTGCCTACATGTTCGCGTTAAGTTGATGCGTGCAAGTGAAGAAATTGATGCCCGTATCATTACCACGAAAATAAGCATTATTATGGATCAATAGGTTGTTTTATTACTGCCGAAAATAGAATGCGATCGTGATCGTTAAAATTTTGCCATAAACAACACGTCAACGATCAGGAGCAATAACCGTGGAAGTTCGAAGATACAAAGCCGGAAGATATAGCGAATCGGATCGGGAGTAACACGCTACTTTTGTTTTGCGAATGAGAAGTTAAATACCAGCAGGCTACAAAACAAAATAAAACGCCTTGATAGCGAAACATCAAATGAGCATGCCATGACATGACACACATTTTAGAGAAGTCGCTGTAGCGAAGACAGCACCATTATACGTATTATATGTTGTATGGTCGCATTCTGATATTTTCATTTTCCAACTAGGTGCTGTGCGGTTCGCTGCGGACTCCACTTCGAGTCCACTTCCATACTAAATACATCAGTGACTATTATTCTATGTATTACATTACATTACCGTTCTTTCATTAAGACAGGCAGTAGTTTATTGAATGAGCAAACGCTGCGACCGCGAAAGCTCTCTCCCATGTGCGTACGTAAGCTTGTACGTATTATTTTGTATATCATGGTGAAAAGCTGCCTGTTGTTAAATTATTAACTAGCGATAAGGTACCTGTAGATAATGATGGAATTGAGACAATGCGTGAAATTTTTGTTGACTATCGTTGTGGTGTTTGGTGTTAGTGTCACGTGTTTGGATTTCAAGTATCATACGCACGAAGAACTGACCAACTATTTGAAAAACTACACAAAAAGTCACAAGAACTTTTTCAGTAGATTATATTCAGTTGGAAGATCCATAAACGGTACGTATTGTTTATAAATTTCTTAGTATATTATAATCGCCGATACTACGACATTTGACCCGACATAGTTTCACAACAGACACTTTAAAGGATTCGCATGTTTTCGTACTTAAATGAGTATCTAAAATTTTTCAAAGTATTTACAAAACATTAAAAAATTAGATAAGAACTTATTACAAATGCGAGTAGTTATATGTAGAAAAACAGTTGAATGTATACTATGACCAGAAAATAGACGTTTAAAATAACACTGTTGATGTTAACATATAGTGTTTTATTACTTCCAAGACCCATATTTTCGGAAATAAAACCACAATCATCGTATTATTGCTTAAACAATATCAATAAAAAATATGTAGGTTAAATAAATAAAACCTTGAAACAATTCACTGCCTGCTATTGCTGATACGAAGGTAGATACTTACCTATATCAATTTTTAAATTTGCAAACAGGTGTGATACTTAATATTTTTTTAAATATCCATACCTAAAATGCGACGTTTCGCTGGCAGCTGTGGTTGGTATCCTCAGAGAGGGTAGCAAGGATATAAAGACGTAATGTCCTTCACAGCGGTTGTACTGACAATAATAATACCAACATCAGTCATTCCTATATTGGTGTTCTCGCCGAAGGACCGTAGAAGGACCACAGTCACTACAGGACGAGAATCAGTCTTAGACCATGGCTATCAAAGCCAACCGTGTGAAAACCCTTCGCAAGTAATGATAACGTTAAATAAAATTTAATACCTCTACCTATCAATATGCACTAATGATTTTTATCTTACGAAATAAACAAAGTTTTGAGGAAAACGAATATATGAAAACGTAATTATACATGAACATATTTAGATGCATTATAAATTACGATACATATAAATCGGTACCTATGATAATTTTAGACGTTATTCAACCAATCCACCTACAGGTCAAAGATATTGGGACATGTGACCAGGTATTGTGTACATAGATTACGTAATTTCTTTTGTTCGCATAAGAAATATTTAGGTATAACAACAAAACAGAACGGTAGATACTTCTTCACTATTGTTATTAAAAATTACAAAAGGTCATCATCTCGTTATAACGGAAGCAGTGTTACTCATTTTTAGAACTAAGTGAGAACAAAAATGTTCTAACGTTTTACGACCTAATGCAAAAAATTCGAAATAAGTAAAAAAAACGCAATTTTATGTCTACAAATTATTTCTGCATGATTCATTTTATGTCATTTAATATTATGATTAGTACGATATTTGATCTCTTCATCCAGATGTCATTTTTTACCCTTCACGGGTAATGGAACTCGGCCCGTAACAACAGAACCGTTACTATCATTAACTTCTGTTGCAATAATGTTACATATATGCACATTGCATAATACGTAGTACATAAATGCGTATTTTTTCTATGTATATTTATTCCTTTTTATTGTTCTTGTATCTATCCACCTATGTACGAATGTATCCACAATGTAAGCATGTGTATGTTCATCTACACGCAATTGCATTTGCAGAATGACTTCATTGAACGTCTATTTTTGCTATTTATGACTTAACCTTATGAATTTTAATTAAAGTGACGACGGACGGCAATGGGTGGAAGAAAATGGGACAAGGAACGTTTGTTCTGTGCGTGGCGCATTTGTGATTTGTATATGTACTTGTATATTATAATTGGTGCGCGCGTTTCTATGTGGACGAACCAAGTTGAATTATATGTATTTAAGATAAAATTAGAGATACAACGCATGTAAATGTGTAATTATTTGGAAAAATAGCAGGCAGTAATAATACGTTTTTACTTCTACTTCCGGGCTATTAGCCGCACCCTTACAAAGTGGGTCATTTAAGAAACGGGTGCGTCTTTGACGCTAGGGGAATCCTAGCACAGAAAATATGAGTAGCAAGCAGGCGATTACCTTAAAAATGTAAAGAGCGTCTGGAAGTCTACATAGAATAAGAACTGTCCCTTTTTCACGAAAAACTAGATAAGGGTCTGTTCTGCATTGTCTTATTAAAAGGCGATTGTTCTATTAAATTAATCATTAGAATGTGTTGTAAGCAGATCTATTACAAATTACAACACATAATTAAACATTTATTTTCATTAAACATTGAGTCGGTCTAATTACCGACTGTGTAATTATACAATAATTAACACCACTTATGGTTCATTTTTCTACATGATTACTCTAAAGCTATCGAGACGTATCTCATATCATGGTACCAGCTTTCTGATGCCCCCTTCATAGGACTTTGTCGATGCTTTCAATTGTCGAAAGAAGTAAAAGTCCCTCGTTGCGACATCTGGACTATACGGCGGATTATCAAAAATGTCCCACTTGAATTGCCTGTCGAAATGTTGAGATATCGCGATTGTCACAAACGAAAACCACAACCGTCCATACGCCTATTTCGACAATTGAAGGCATGGTTAGACTGAAAACACTGCAAAATACCTAACATCACGGATGACAAACTTCTGTGAAGAGGGCATCAGCAAGCTGTAGTCGCGATATGACAAATGCCTCAATCGTTACGTAGTAAAATAAAATATCTGTCTATTTTCTGGCTTATTGATTATTGCAAAAAAATAGTCCTCCCACCTGTTAGATAGGTACCACTTTTTATACAGTTTTTTCTAAAATTGTGACTTGTATTAAAACATTAATATGTTAGTTGAAAATCAACAAAAACTTTTAGTTGTAACCAACATTAATAAGTAAACTCTAGTCAATCAACCTAACGTTTATTTATGTAAACGACCTTTGTCAGCATTATAAATTGAAAGGAATACATTACTTATACTCCATCGAGTTTTGCTCTCACATAGCAAAAAGACCAAACAATAGAATCCTTGAAGCGCCATGAAAGAATCCGAGCATTTTTATTCGTTTAAATATTCCATACAACTGCTTGTAATAATTACAAGAAAATTTTTGCAGGCTGAAGGTCATGTAAATGTGCTACTTTGCGTTAATGTTAGGTAACAAAATATATTCCGGATGAGCGTAAAATTACAATTAGTTTTCCTTTTCAACGTTTGCTAGTGTAAAGTGCAATTTATTGATGCATTGTACTTAATAAATATGTCCTTTACAATTAATTTACAACAATACGCGTAGGAATAAACAATTTCAACTTTTATCATTAAAATTAGAAAAATTGCAGTTATAATATGTCATCTACATATAAAACTTTTTGCCATTTGTAATATTTGAATATCGATTTTGGTTGTTACATAAACAGGAAAAGACCTATGGGTTCTAGAAGTTGCTGCAGCCAAGGAGTCAAAACTGGGTACTCCAAATGTAAAACTGATAGGAAATATACATGGAAATGAACCTGCTGGACGGGAAGTACTTCTACATTTTCTAGAGGTAAAAAAAAATATCGACGAGTATTTTGTTTATAGATTAAGGGCCAAATAGATAAAAAATGAATTTGTTGAATAATCTAATTAATTAAGAAAAGTTTCTTCAGTTTTATTTCGACTTCCTCTAGATTGCTTAAAATTGGTATTAAGGCGTAATAAAGACAATCGCATAACACAAAGAATATGTATAATCATCATCATTGTAGGGTCGTCAGTTCTATTACTGGTTGGACACGCATCTCCATTCTTTGCTATCCTGAGCTAATTTTCGCATTTCCCTAAAACTAGAATATCCTACATCCTTAACTACGTATTTGTGAACAGTAATCTAATCTAGGTATACCTCTACTTCTGTTAACTACTATTTCGGGTTCTAATTAATATATCTTTAACTATCCCCTCATGCTTGAAAAGACGTTTTATGAATCTACACCTATTTCTTATTGACTTCCGCGTATATAAGGTGTAAATGAGGCGATTTCTTCCTCGAAAGGGAATGTTACGCATTCGTTCTTAAAATCAGGGGAAATATTGTCCTTTCGCTAACAGTATGGCAAAAAATATATTTACTTTTTTTCTTGTTTTCTCAAGTATTTAGCAGAAGAATACACCAACAATAACGCGACAATTCAATGGCTTTTGGAAAACACACGAATTCACGTCATGCCCAGTATGAATCCAGATGGTTTCGAAATTTCAAGTATGGGCATTTGTACCGGTGACCATGGTCGTACTAATGCTAAGTTAATAGACCTGAATAGGAATTTTCCCGACTATTACAAACCTAGTGTGATACCACCTCAGCCAGAGAGTTTAGCAATTCAAAAGTGGATGCAGCAGGTGCCTTTCGTTCTATCGGCGGGCTTACACGGAGGAGCTTTGGTGGCAAACTACCCCTTCGATACCGTTAAAGAACAAAGTAAGAACACAATCTGGGAAATTTTTCTTTATATAAAGCAATAGCGTGAGGCCACCCGAATCTATAAGATTAAGTTATTCCTGTAGCATTTATTTGTTATTGACTGTTCTAGAATGGGAAAAACTCCTTAAAGATTTATCGAATGTAACTACGCAAGAAGAAGAACTTAAATTAAGGCAGGAGTATATTGGTATGATTAAATTTAATTCCGGACTTGTTGGTTTTCTTTTTGTAATGTCTAATATGTATGCTTTGTACCGTCTCTAAAATTGTTTATATGTTTTTCACCCTTAACAAACTAAAGTAGTGTTTTATGTATCTAATCAAAATAAGTTTCCGCATATTTTTTAATTTTTAACTTACCTACACGTTTTAATATTAAAAGCTTTTTGTTTGTTTTCGTTTTATAACACGCTGTAGACTTTTATCGTTAATTTATTTGTAGTGGCACTGTTTCAGGGCTTTGTATAATTACGTTTCTATAACCGTGACGATCAAAATTGGCAAAGTCCGCTAGTCATTTGCTGCCTTTTGAACACGCCTTTGTTAAGTTAGGAATTGCTTCATGAGAAGTACCTACAGGCAAAATGAAAATAAGCTTGCTTTCCTAAATTCCTGAGAATGTTAAACTTTCTTTGCAGTCCGATGCTGACAACATACTCAAATTATGCTTAACTTCAGCTCTTTCTGTTACACATTAACTGGTGTAAACTTATTCCTTTTTCTTTATTAGTGTTCGCTGCAATTCCTATCTGGCATCTCTTTTCTATATTTACGATGTCTGTCGTGAGTAAAAGTTGGCGTTCTGTTAACAACTGCTCTACTCTAATTACGTTAGTTGAAAGAAGAAAGCAAATGCGACAGTTTTACTGCGGCCTATGCCAATTTTGAACGTTCCAACTATATGTTCGAAATATACGAAACTATACGAAATTATCATTTCCGTAAAATTTTCAGAGTCTCTTTCAAAAACGTCGACGTCTCTCACACCCGATGACGATGTTTTTATTCATTTAGCGAAAACGTATGCTAATAATCATCCTACAATGCATCACGGGTACCCATGCCCAGATTCAAACAGGTCGTTTACCAATGGAATAACAAACGGAGCAGAATGGTACCCCATCAGAGGTAACGGAACAAATATTTTTCATGGAACTGATTATGAAAATATTTTTACAGGTGGAATGCAGGACTTTAATTATTTTAGACACGGTTGCATGGAATTAACTTTAGAAATTTCTTGTTGCAAGTATCCGTTTTTAAAAAAACTTCCTAAAATTTGGTTGGAAAACAATGGGGTCAATATCAGCAAGTACAATTTTTGCGGTCATTTTTCAATTTAAATTTTCAGGCACTAATCCATTTCCTAATACAGGCCAATCGCGGAGTAGCCGGACAAGTATTAGACTACGAAACGAATAAACCCGTTCCTTTTGCATCCCTTAAAATTGTGGGAAGAGACATGAATTTTACGTCCACGAAAAACGGCGAATTTTGGAGAATTCTACTTCCCGGAATTTACCGACTAGAGGCAAGTACAAAATACAAATTATAAGTCAATCAACTTAAACCGTAACAAATGTGTATTAACTTCTTGATACGCGATTTCTAACTAATTGTTAGCAGTGTACTACCACTATCTACTTATAGGAATGTACTTTACAGGTTCAAGCATGGGGATATCACGGAAAACGTACATCATTTACGGTTTTAGAACACGAAAACGAACTTCCAAGCCATAGATTCATTTTCGTACATCTTAGAAGTTTAATATCACGACCTAAAGAGCCTTCCGCAGCAACATCCCCCTCAACAGTACCTGACGAAAGTTCTAGAATATCCCAAACAGAGATTAAATTTTCTACCTCATCACTCGAACTAACCACTCAAAAAATTCCAACGACAATCCCTATCGTCAAAGAATATTCTTCTACGGAGAAGACGAGTGAGAAGAATCTAGTCCAAAAAGAGGCATTAAATAAGGGCCAGGAGCCTACCAAGAGTACCTCTTTGTTTATTGCCATACTTTTTATAAATATTTATCTTCTATATTTATAAAATTGTTTTGTTAAAAATTTATTCTATTAATAAACATTTTTTATTTAACAGGCATCTTATTATTTATTTCAATAAAAGTTCTCAACAAAAAAATGAAATCTAAACATAGCTAATACTTATAAAAAGATACAAAGGGTGTGTCATTCCAATTAAAATTAGAACCACGAAATAATTTGTCAACGGGTGCGAAACCCCTCAATATTCGGTGAATATATTTCAGGGGAAGTTACTGTTATCCTACAATAATTTTTAGTGTCCTAGCTCTACGAATTATTTAGCATAGGATTATGCATATGAGATAATTTGTCAGCGGGTCTAAGGGTTATTTATGGGGTGCCAAGCCCTCTAATATTAAATTATTATTTTTTAGTGGAAGTTTTTCTTGTACCACAATAATTTTTGGTATCCTAGCTCTAAGAGTCATTTAACATAAGATTAGGCGTATAAGATAATTTGTCAGCGGGTCTAAGGATTGTTTATGGGGCGCCAAACCCTCTAATATTAATTATTATTTTTTAGTGGAAGTTTTTCTTGTACCACAATAATTTTTGATATCGTAGCTCTACGAATCATTTAACATTGGATTAGAATAATTATTACTAGGTATATAGATGGTTTGTTGTTTGATTTCCAATCAAGTAATTCCATTCTGTTTTTGAGAATACGAAGACCCGAATCCATGAACTGGATAATTGAATTTCACATTTGATCCNAAAAACCATTTTGCACACCGGTTACGATTTGTATTTCAATTTCTTGCAAAGATTATGTAGACCTTTAATTTTTTGCCTACATGTTCGCGTTAAGTTGATGCGTGCAAGTGAAGAAATTGATGCCCGTATCATTACCACGAAAATAAGCATTATTATGGATCAATAGGTTGTTTTATTACTGCCGAAAATAGAATGCGATCGTGATCGTTAAAATTTTGCCATAAACAACACGTCAACGATCAGGAGCAATAACCGTGCAAGTTCGAAGATACAAAGCCGGAAGATATAGCGAATCGGATCGGGAGTAACACGCTACTTTTGTTTTGCGAATGAGAAGTTAAATACCAGCAGGCTACAAAACAAAATAAAACGCCTTGATAGCGAAACATCAAATGAGCATGCCATGACATGACACACATTTTAGAGAAGTCGCTGTAGCGAAGACAGCACCATTATACGTATTATATGTTGTATGGTCGCATTCTGATATTTTCATTTTCCAACTAGGTGCTGTGCGGTTCGCTGCGGACTCCACTTCGAGTCCACTTCCATACTAAATACATCAGTGACTATTATTCTATGTATTACATTACATTACCGTTCTTTCATTAAGACAGGCAGTAGTTTATTGAATGAGCAAACGCTGCGACCGCGAAAGCTCTCTCCCATGTGCTTACGTAAGCTTGTACGTATTATTTTGTATATCATGGTGAAAAGCTGCCTGTTGTTAAATTATTAACTAGCGATAAGGTACCTGTAGATAATGATGGAATTGAGACAATGCGTGAAATTTTTGTTGACTATCGTTGTGGTGTTTGGTGTTAGTGTCACGTGTTTGGATTTCAAGTATCATACGCACGAAGAACTGACCAACTATTTGAAAAATTACACAAAAAGTCACAAGAACTTTTTCAGTAGATTATATTCAGTTGGAAGATCCATAAACGGTACGTATTGTTTATAAATTTCTTAGTATATTATAATCGCCGATACTACGACATTTGACCCGACATAGTTTCACAACAGACACTTTAAAGGATTCGCATGTTTTCGTACTTAAATGAGTATCTAAAATTTTTCAAAGTATTTACAAAACATTAAAAAATTAGATAAGAACTTATTACAAATGCGAGTAGTTATATGTAGAAAAACAGTTGAATGTATACTATGACCAGAAAATAGACGTTTAAAATAACACTGTTGATGTTAACATATAGTGTTTTATTACTTCCAAGACCCATATTTTCGGAAATAAAACCACAATCATCGTATTATTGCTTAAACAATATCAATAAAAAATATGTAGGTTAAATAAATAAAACCTTGAAACAATTCACTGCCTGCTATTGCTGATACGAAGGTAGATACTTACCTATATCAATTTTTAAATTTGCAAACAGGTGTGATACTTAATATTTTTTTAAATATCCATACCTAAAATGCGACGTTTCGCTGGCAGCTGTGGTTGGTATCCTCAGAGAGGGTAGCAAGGATATAAAGACGTAATGTCCTTCACAGCGGTTGTACTGACAATAATAATACCAACATCAGTCATTCCTATATTGGTGTTCTCGCCGAAGGACCGTAGAAGGACCACAGTCACTACAGGACGAGAATCAGTCTTAGACCATGGCTATCAAAGCCAACCGTGTGAAAACCCTTCGCAAGTAATGATAACGTTAAATAAAATTTAATACCTCTACCTATCAATATGCACTAATGATTTTTATCTTACGAAATAAACAAAGTTTTGAGGAAAACGAATATATGAAAACGTAATTATACATGAACATATTTAGATGCATTATAAATTACGATACATATAAATCGGTACCTATGATAATTTTAGACGTTATTCAACCAATCCACCTACAGGTCAAAGATATTGGGACATGTGACCAGGTATTGTGTACATAGATTACGTAATTTCTTTTGTTCGCATAAGAAATATTTAGGTATAACAACAAAACAGAACGGTAGATACTTCTTCACTATTGTTATTAAAAATTACAAAAGGTCATCATCTCGTTATAACGGAAGCAGTGTTACTCATTTTTAGAACTAAGTGAGAACAAAAATGTTCTAACGTTTTACGACCTAATGCAAAAAATTCGAAATAAGTAAAAAAAACGCAATTTTATGTCTACAAATTATTTCTGCATGATTCATTTTATGTCATTTAATATTATGATTAGTACGATATTTGATCTCTTCATCCAGATGTCATTTTTTACCCTTCACGGGTAATGGAACTCGGCCCGTAACAACAGAACCGTTACTATCATTAACTTCTGTTGCAATAATGTTACATATATGCACATTGCATAATACGTAGTACATAAATGCGTATTTTTTCTATGTATATTTATTCCTTTTTATTGTTCTTGTATCTATCCACCTATGTACGAATGTATCCACAATGTAAGCATGTGTATGTTCATCTACACGCAATTGCATTTGCAGAATGACTTCATTGAACGTCTATTTTTGCTATTTATGACTTAACCTTATGAATTTTAATTAAAGTGACGACGGACGGCAATGGGTGGAAGAAAATGGGACAAGGAACGTTTGTTCTGTGCGTGGCGCATTTGTGATTTGTATATGTACTTGTATATTATAATTGGTGCGCGCGTTTCTATGTGGACGAACCAAGTTGAATTATATGTATTTAAGATAAAATTAGAGATACAACGCATGTAAATGTGTAATTATTTGGAAAAATAGCAGGCAGTAATAATACGTTTTTACTTCTACTTCCGGGCTATTAGCCGCACCCTTACAAAGTGGGTCATTTAAGAAACGGGTGCGTCTTTGACGCTAGGGGAATCCTAGCACAGAAAATATGAGTAGCAAGCAGGCGATTACCTTAAAAATGTAAAGAGCGTCTGGAAGTCTACATAGAATAAGAACTGTCCCTTTTTCACGAAAAACTAGATAAGGGTCTGTTCTGCATTGTCTTATTAAAAGGCGATTGTTCTATTAAATTAATCATTAGAATGTGTTGTAAGCAGATCTATTACAAATTACAACACATAATTAAACATTTATTTTCATTAAACATTGAGTCGGTCTAATTACCGACTGTGTAATTATACAATAATTAACACCACTTATGGTTCATTTTTCTACATGATTACTCTAAAGCTATCGAGACGTATCTCATATCATGGTACCAGCTTTCTGATGCCCCCTTCATAGGACTTTGTCGATGCTTTCAATTGTCGAAAGAAGTAAAAGTCCCTCGTTGCGACATCTGGACTATACGGCGGATTATCAAAAATGTCCCACTTGAATTGCCTGTCGAAATGTTGAGATATCGCGATTGTCACAAACGAAAACCACAACCGTCCATACGCCTATTTCGACAATTGAAGGCATGGTTAGACTGAAAACACTGCAAAATACCTAACATCACGGATGACAAACTTCTGTGAAGAGGGCATCAGCAAGCTGTAGTCGCGATATGACAAATGCCTCAATCGTTACGTAGTAAAATAAAATATCTGTCTATTTTCTGGCTTATTGATTATTGCAAAAAAATAGTCCTCCCACCTGTTAGATAGGTACCACTTTTTATACAGTTTTTTCTAAAATTGTGACTTGTATTAAAACATTAATATGTTAGTTGAAAATCAACAAAAACTTTTAGTTGTAACCAACATTAATAAGTAAACTCTAGTCAATCAACCTAACGTTTATTTATGTAAACGACCTTTGTCAGCATTATAAATTGAAAGGAATACATTACTTATACTCCATCGAGTTTTGCTCTCACATAGCAAAAAGACCAAACAATAGAATCCTTGAAGCGCCATGAAAGAATCCGAGCATTTTTATTCGTTTAAATATTCCATACAACTGCTTGTAATAATTACAAGAAAATTTTTGCAGGCTGAAGGTCATGTAAATGTGCTACTTTGCGTTAATGTTAGGTAACAAAATATATTCCGGATGAGCGTAAAATTACAATTAGTTTTCCTTTTCAACGTTTGCTAGTGTAAAGTGCAATTTATTGATGCATTGTACTTAATAAATATGTCCTTTACAATTAATTTACAACAATACGCGTAGGAATAAACAATTTCAACTTTTATCATTAAAATTAGAAAAATTGCAGTTATAATATGTCATCTACATATAAAACTTTTTGCCATTTGTAATATTTGAATATCGATTTTGGTTGTTACATAAACAGGAAAAGACCTATGGGTTCTAGAAGTTGCTGCAGCCAAGGAGTCAAAACTGGGTACTCCAAATGTAAAACTGATAGGAAATATACATGGAAATGAACCTGCTGGACGGGAAGTACTTCTACATTTT